CGGCTAAGTCCGGACGAGGCTCTTCGCGGGGCTTCTGGGTCGTTGTCGGATGGGGATAGATCGACGAAAATGAGTTCTGACTGCACGACATCGCTGGGTGGCCGGTGTACTGCTGCCTTGGTTCACGTCGTCTGCTCTAGTGTAGGGAAAACGAAGACGCTGGAAGGCGAGGCTGAGGAGCGGCGACGTACGGACTGCGCTTGCGCTGCGGGAGAGGAAAAGACGAGGGCACCTGGGGAGGATAGATCACTGATGCGTTGCTGCTTCTCTCAGTTATGGGGAAGATAAAAAGAAAATTAGAAAAGGGACTGACGCATTACGGCGGACGGGGTTTAAGGAGGAATTTATGGGACCGTTTGGAGGGTTGGTAACGGGTTTTGGGTTTTTATTTATTTATTATAATTTGTTTGTCTTCTGATGCTAATAGGTTGGAGGAAACGTGGAGATGATAATGATGATGTCACATTAATAATAACAACAATAGTTAATGTTCTTCTTATTATTATTATTATTATTATTATTATTATTATTATTATTATTATTATTTCTAATTCACAATTTCAACCCTTCGTACGTAATCGACGCCCAAACGTTCGGTCGTACCTAGACCCAAAAATTGGGGTGTTACATTTCCTTCACCCTTATAAAAATTTCGTACCCGAAATTTGCTTGGAACTCATCTTTCTGTTAACACCCTTCTTATACTATCTTCCCACAATCATCTATTCTTACCATAACAACTTCGTTGGTACCCTTTGCTCATCCCGTGTAGTTCACTGTACCTACTATATTTCCCCTTTGACCATTTTAGGTATCCCCACCTAACTTGCAGCACTCGTGTGACTTTCAGTGAGTCATTGGCCTTTTAATTCCCCCGAATAGGCTCAGTTGCTTAATGAAACAAAATTCTGATTCAATCTGGTTCGTGGCCCAACTCATTCAGTAGTTGGTTGTTGTACATAGGTCCAGATCGAGGTATCACATTTCCCCTTCCTTAAGAAAAATTTCAACCTCGAAATTTGTTCGATGTGATGACCTCAAGTCTCACTTGAGATAATCTATTTACAAAGAATTGTACCCCCCTTAACTTGTACGACACTGAGCTATACATCCTTCCCTCCAACATGATGTGATTTTAGCAGACTGGTAGTTCAACCATTTCTCATAAACAACCTGCCTAGCTAGCTATTAGTTCGATACATCTATGAAATTCTCCACCCATATACGACTTCAATGTTGTGGTGCTTTACTCAAAACATCTTGTGATCACCGCGGTTTCTCAAGATCTCCCCTTACAATTTCTTAAGCAATATCGTATAATAATTCACCAGTATCTTGACCTATAATGTTCTCCTTTTCACGATTGTTGATGCACACCTTTGAACTCCATGACGTAAACGTTCATGGTGAGTGTTCGACTTGCTCGGTAATGCCCTGTTGTTTGATGCTTCTTATCCCCTTCACATCGGTCATTTACTTCGAAGGCATCCGCTATCTCCATCATTTGGTACATAAGCAGGAAATACCACTTCGAACTCCAAGATTACTGATGGCAGTGTGATCTCCTTCTTGTTCGATCGCAAAAATCTTTTAACGTAACCCCGTCCGTGGTTGACCACATCGGTCACCTAGGTCCTTGTATCTCCTAACTTGTATCTCTTACTTTCTTGCTCGATACTTCATCTTATCCTTTAATCATAAACTGAATGGTCATCTCCTCGTTACTTCTTTCTTAACGCAGAGACCTCATACTACTGCTTGTACTTTCTGTATGCATCAGAGGCATCCATTGCATCGCACCCCTAACTTGCATTCAAATTAATGCTTCTTTCAAGAATCATGACATTCTCCTTGGCTTGCTTGTTCACCACTGGCCGCCTAACTAAATACTCCCTTATTGTCGCTTGAATTTGCAGTTCTCATAGTACGTTTATGATATTCTTAGAACTTAACTGAAGCCATTTATGACGATTTTGACACCACTTGAGTGCTTCCAAATATTTTCTCTAAATACATACCTCTTACTTCTTTACTCGCAATCCTTCTTCTTGATGTTTCTTGTCCTCGACGTAGTCCGCTAGGTTCTTATAGTCTCTTCTCACTTATGTACCTTGACCTATAAGGTTTCTCCTTTCGACTATTCTCGATGACCACGATTCCACCTTTAACTTGACCGATGAGCTTCAAATTTCTCGATGGACTTACTATGGATCAGCTGTTCTCCACTGGCAGTCAACCTAAAGCTTCCTTGTTGTCTTCTGTATTCCTATCTTGACCTTTCCTACTATTTTCCTCCATGCACACTACTTGAATACGAGTCGCTCACACATATTCTCACTCCTTTATCAGGAACTTTCATGTCTTTCCTTGACTTCATATGTTCTACGACATCACTAGTACCACTTCACAGTTATTGTCGTACAACTTTCCAAAGTTCCATACTTTTTGTAGATTGCTTACCAATCATTTAACGATTTTAGCAATACGTTCGCACAACCGAACTTGTAACTCCCTACCGAGACTTGACCAATTGACTTCTTGAAATATCATCAAACTTCCTCTGACCTTCTTGCTCTTTCCCGGTATCCTATGCAAATTATCTTTATCACGCTTGATGAGACTCCTCGAATTCTCTTACATTTATTAGAACTTCCAATGAACATTCTACTTGCTTGTCTATACTCAGTTGGTTGAATAATTTACGCCTATAGCTCCAGCTCTTAGCCCCCCTAGTTCCAACTTATTACAGAGGTTCCTCCTTCTGTCACCCCTCATGTAACCTAGATGGATAGGTGCTCCCTCCATTTAGGATAGGACAATCCCATAACAGATCATCACGAACTCTTGCATTTCCCTTTCAACGGTCCCAACGACCTCCTAACCTTTCATGATCTGGGTAGTTTGTAGAGTCTCTCATATCCCAATACATCCTCTTTCTAGCTCGTCATTGTTCACTAGCACATTGTTATTCTTGATCCAAGCTCGTTCTCTACCTCGATCATCTTGACGCTTGTCTTGTTTCTTTTAAAGGCTTGCTACCAGCCTAATTCCCCAGGGTCATGTACCCTCTTCTCGAGTGACGTAGTTTACTACAAGGGTTCCTTTATCGTCATTATGTAATGACCATGATTTTTTTACTTCTTGACGTCCTTACATACCCCTTGTAACATACTTATTTCCTCCTTCGCTTCATTTATACTACCCTAGCTTTTCTTAAAGTCTAAGCTTCCCTGTGTTGTAATAACATCGAGTCATCGACGACTAAAACTAGCTGAGGGATTTCTCGTGGTACCTCTTGGTTTCTTGACTCGTTGCCTCCTCGCCACTACTTAGGGTCAAGGACCCTGAACTCCTCCCCTCATTTTAGCTATTGACATCTAGTGATTGTAGCTCTTTCTTCGGAGATTCATAGTTCTCCTATTTGTTTATCTTAACCTATTAGATCGTTTGCTAGTGGCTAAGTAGAAAAAATCCTTGTAGTGCTCCTTCAACTCCTTCGATTCCTCGTACTTATACCTCGGGATAACCCTTTGCGATTGGCGCACCCTTTTATTAGGACTAAAGTTATTTATCTTAATACGATTAGAGTAGACTGGAGATTCTATATACTCTTAAAAGGAGACCCATGACTCATTTTCCTTTCCATTAAAACAAAAGCCTTTAAAACTGATATCGACATTCCAGTATTCCTTGGAGACCAAGGAATAGAGGAAGACCGGCTCTGATACAAAAATGTAACACCCTAACCCCGCCGGGTACTACTTTTACCAAAATACCCTTTATAAAATCATGAAAAAAATAAGAACTGCAAACACATGGAAAAAATAGCGGAAACTTTTCATAAATAACTTTAACAAATACTGAGAATAAACTGTAACTTCTTAAAACAAAGCCCTAACACTTGGGCGAACCTCAATCATAAAATCTTAATTTGAATCTCCAGTCTATACTCATAATCTCAAGTCTTAACTCGAAAATCGAAATACTATAAGAACTTGGTTGGAAGTCAGTACTCTTCAAGTTAAATTTGAACCTATTGTAAAAGTTGTTGGAATGCATCGAATATGTCACCTAATAGTATGATTGGCAACATTAGCAACAACATGATGCTTCTGTAGTCGGTCAACGCGAGAGAATTTATAGGCCAAATACCCTAATTGAATTTGTAACGCTTTATATATCTATTATGCGGATGGAACAAATCTCTAAACTGTCATCTAATTCTCATGCTTCAAGGATTGAAAATTAACTTTGCACGAAATGTTATAACTTTGCACTGAATGTCATATGCAATTATACACAATCACAAAGTTGGATAGGAACCAGAATGTATTCGCCAGCAACAAAGCCTATGCAGCAATAACTCTGTCTATGCAGCCCTTAGTTACATGAGATAGAGAGATAGCATAGAGTGCCACTTGTTAGCTAGTTTTTTTTTCTTTCCCTTTCATGAAGATGATAATATTTCATGATTGCTTTGATAACACATTTGTGACACCATATTAGACTATATAGTTATCAGTTGGGACTCTTAAATATATACAATTAACAATTTGAGAATGAATAATGTCTAAAGTTATGTCATCCAAAACATGCTCAGCAATTAGCATCGAATCGGCTTGAATTCTAAAACAATTGAGTGTGTTCATCTAAATGAATTAAGACATTTATCGAACACATCTTCTATAATTTTTTATTAGGGCATATTGTACTTCGCATTTCTCAAACTGAACAAGGACCCAATTAAACCCACCTAAAACCAAGGTTTAGAAAACCCTACTTTATCAGCCGGTTGGACTGGAAATAGTGGATACCGGACCCAAAACGGTAGGCGATTTTAGCGGTAGGAAACCGTCAATCCGCCTAAGACCCACTTAACCTCCACACACTAGCTGCGAGTTATTCCTCTTCTTTCTTTCTTATTGATCCTTTCCAGATTTCTTCCTAGCGGGTAAAACAATCTCGCCCTTGAGCACAGGGAAGGAAATGCATAATCTGCGTCAGCTCCACGAACTTCTTCCGTAACTTGTCGACTTGCTCGACGTCCACAAGCACGCCAAAGCGGTTGACCAGGCAGAACTGTTGGTTTCCGGACCAAACCTCATGTCGTACTCCTTTTGTGTCCCACCGGTGGTAATCACCAGCTCCCCGTTGTATCTCCTTCATCGGCATGTTACCATTCCTTCTGATCTGACACCAGTCTTTGCCTTTGTGGCTGCGAGAGCAGCGGAGGAGAGACGGGTTTGAATAGGAGGGTTAAGGCCTTGAGGGTGACATTTTTTTTTTTAAGAAACAAGTTTTTGAAGAGGCCCAAGGAGTGGTCATTTGAAATGGGCTGCAAATTTTGGTCAGTTCTTCTAGTCTAATGATCGCTGCTTTGGACTTCAGTACTTGGTAGCCGTCAAACTGAGTTTTTTTGTTGTTAAAATCCATTATCATGTTGGACTTTGTTTGATGAGGCCAGTTATGAGGCTTACTACCAAGTTGGGCTCGAACCCACTCATTCAAGTCATTATCAAGCTGAGCTCAAATTACCAATTCAGTTGATGAGCAAAATTCCAATTTGGAAATTAAAGCCCTGTTAAATTATCATATCGAAAGCATAAAGAAAATCGACACAAGATTTTCGGCCTCGCAGACAGATTTTACTCCACGATGGCTAAGCGTTCTTCAGTTTTTATTATTCAATGATATATAAGCCCTAATCAAGGCTTTATAGTCCACGTTCAACACATAACCCTAGCCAGAGAGTTATGCGCCAGATTACCAAATCAGACAATATAAAATACATCTTTACAATAAGCCCCAAATACATACGTCAATATCCCCTCAAACTGATGGTGAAGGCAACATCAGTTTATGTGATAGGAACCAATGATGACTAGTAGAGACAACTTCGTTAAGATATCAGTCTGTTGATCTTTAGTCGTCAGATACAGCAAATGAAGCCAACCATAGGTAATAAGTTGACGAATATAATGCACGTGAACTTCAATGTGTTTAGTATGCTCATGCAAAACATGATTGATGGTAATTTGAATTGCACTAGCATTGTCTCCAAATAGCAGAAGAGGAGATGGTCATGAGACACCAAGTTCGCCCAGCAACAGATATAGCCAGACAAGTTCCGAACTAACCTCAGAAAAGAACCCAACTTCACAATCCATTCAAAATTAGATCAACGAGTATCCAAACACCATGCAGAATCAACATCTGCATAGGCACAGAGACACATATCGAGTAGAGATGGGCAAAAACTCTGCTCGGTGAGTTGCATGTAGCACTGAATTTTGGTACCGGTATTTGGGATATACCGAATACCGTACCAAATTTATCAATATTTGGTATTATCGAATACCGGCTTATTTTTAGGGATTGGAATTGGGATTCATTTTGGAGTACTATTCGGGATTACATGATTGGGATCGGTATACACCGAAATACCAAGAAAATACCAAAGATTAAAAATTAATGAAATATAGCACACAACCTTTGGTCATTACTCACTCTAGGGGTGGGCACGTGGGTGGTTAATCCGCCGATTGATATCGATCCACCCGCAACTAACCCGACCCGCATGCTGTGGGTGATTGATGTGGGTGGATTGCGGATAGATAAATCTCCCACCCGCACTTATGCGGGTGGGTGGTGCGTGGATTGCGGGTTACCCGTATGACCCGCATCCTATTTTTACATGAAAACATGTTGTTTCTTATAGTATCGAATATTCATCATATTTTCGAACTGCACAACAGTCTGACCATATACTTCAAAAGGTAGAGAATAAAGAATAGTTTTGACTACTATTATTGGTTATTGTGTTGTGCAATATTCATTAGATATTGGATATTGGTATGCAAATTATTGTTAATATCCATTAAATATTGGGATGCAAAGTATAAATTATTAATTGTATCAAAATCACAAGTTATTGATATAATCATACTAATTTGCTATGAACTTATTATAAATGTTAGTCAACTTTTCTAATAGCTAGTTGTAGACTTTCTTTTGCGGGTTGACCCACGACCCAACCGCATTCATCCGCCACCCACCCAACCCAACCCGCAAAAGTATGTGGGTGAATTGCGGGTTACAATTATTCCAACTCGCTAGTAAGCGGGTGGGTCAATTTGAGACCAAAACCCACCCAACCCGCCATTGCCCACCCCTAACTCACTCTTTCACAACCTAGATCCCCAATCCAACTCAATTTTGATTTTGCAGTTTAAGTTACTCTCGTCTCTCACCTAATCTCTTGTTATTTTCATAACACCTAAAAGAAAACTAGTATTAGTCATCTCTCAGCCTCCAATTAGTCAAATTAAAGATTACCAATGACAAGAATTTGAGATGTCACCTCTCCTCCATTCTTCTTATCCATATCCTAGCTCTAGACTAACTCAAGACTCTTTGCTTAGTCTCTTTGCTCTAAATTAAACAATCAAATCTAATTTATATATTTAATTATTAATTGCAAATGTAATTAATTTCGTATTCAATAATACCGATTGAGATAGCGAAGTACCGATTGGGATACCAAAATATTTAGTGAATGAGATTATGATACCGAATTTTTTTAGGGATCAGAATTGTAATTAATTTTAGGATGTATTTCGGTATTTGGTATTGGGATACCAATGTCGTACCGATTTACTGAAATCCAAATTGGTACTTATTTTAGGGATTTTGATTTTGAAAGTTGCAGACAGGAGAGACAAAGAAGAAAAGAATTACTATGGGAAGAGACTTGACTAAAGACAGCTAGAGAGCTGATCGTCTTTCTCCTTAAGAAAGAAATGGGCTTGATTTTACAAATAGCCCAACAAATAGAATAACAAATGAAGCAAACTAAATAACTAATTAAACGAAAATCCAAAGTGACTAATGGGCTAAAGGCTAAAGCCCACAGCAAGCAGTCTTGCAGTGACAACGAAAACTCTTCTTTCTCTCGTGGAGAAGGAAACTAGGAAAGCCACTAAAAGCAGAGAAACGTTGAATAGAAACAGAGTAAGAGACGAGAAAACAGAGTAAGCAGGAAAATCACAGCAGATCAGCATGAAAATAAAAGTGACACATAGAATTTTTACGAGGTTCCCAACTAGCGCTCAATCCTCGTCATAGAACCAGTACCCACTGATTCTAGGAGACTTTTTCTTTCACAGTTTATAACCTATCAAGCAAACTGGAAAGAAAACAAATACAAGAACAATTGAACAAAAGAAATAGTGAAACCCAGACCCCAACTAATCCCGTTGGCTCACAGTTCATGCGCTCTCTATATGAGAAATTTTACAATGTTATATAGTATTGGTGCTATAGGGTTTTGCTTTTATGGTACAACTTAAAATTGTACATTTATGTTATTTTACAACTTCAGATTGTACCTATACTTTTTGTACAAACTCTTTTATGATACAACTTGAACTTGTACCTTTATGTGATGATACAACTTCAAGTTGTACATTTAATGTTATGGTACAACTTTAAGTTGTACATTAAAGCACCAATACTATATATATATATATATAGTAGAAGTGCTCATATATATATATATATATATATGGCGAGTTCTACGGTACCCAGGGTGAAATCCGAGGTACCGCATACCTTGAGTATGAAAACGCTATCCAGACATTGAATTGACTGATCTTTCTATATATATATATATATATGGCGAGTTCTACGGTACCCAGGGTGAAATCCGAGGTACCGCATACCTTGAGTATGAAAACGCTATCCAGACATTGAATTGACTGATCTTTCGGACATGATACTATACTCTAACCCTTAAAGATCAAAATCTAGGTCTTAATTCTCTAAATCTTATACCCCAAGATCAATTTAATTAGAAAAAATAATCGACGGTTATGATTCGTCCAAATATAGGCAAAAAAATCAATGCACCATCTTAGGGTTTATAGTTTATGATTTATATAATTATGACCTAGGATTCACTAATTAAGAGTTAGGGTATAGTATCATGCCCAAAAATCCTACTAATTCGAGGTCTAAATAGCGTTTCCATACTCAAGGTATGTGGTACCGCAGTCATTCAAAAGGCAACGGCTCTTGTTCCAGAAAAGGAAGGCTTCCAACTTCTCTTGCTTCAAGAAAGGAAAGTGCTATTTGATAACCTTGATTGTTGCCCCTTTGATTCGTTCAATATGCAATTCTGATTTCACGATTAATTCGTCCAACATTTACACCCCTACTAGCCTAGACTTCTTCAATCTTAATATTTGATGTGTACTTGGGCCGATCGGACTGTGATCCTCAGTGACAGGCCTCACTGGGCCCAATACTCAGGTGTATGAAGTCTCATCTGACGGGCAGGACTATAAAATGAGGCTTTGGGTACATTGACGAGTGCCAGTTTTGGATTATATTTGAATAATTTTTTCGCCATTAGAGGATATTCATTTCAACTAGTGTATATTAAACAAAATTTTAAAAACAAGGGTTATAGGTATAATAATTAATATGTCCCTCTATTATAACGTTTTTATCAAACATGCCCCTTCTACTATTTTTTACATCAAATATGCTCTTGTACTTTGAAAAAATTATCAAACATGCCATTTTGTTAAAATTTTCATTGAAAAATCGTCAATCGTGGTTGAACCAAAATTTAGACGACCCAACATCGGCAAATGGGTGGAAAAATGTCAGTTTTGTCCCCTTTTTTATTTCCCTGGGTCTTTTCAAAGTGAAATTATTTGAATGATTTGATTATACAAAAGAACCAAAAAAATTCTAAAGTGAATTTATTAGGGATATTTTAGTCATTTGTGTCGCCCAAACTAAAGTTCAGCCTTGATTAACGGTTTTTGGATGAAAATTTTAACAAAAATGCATGTTTGATCATTTTTACAAAGTACAGGGGCATGTTTGATGTAAAAAATAGTAGAAGGGCATGTTTGATAAAGCGTAATAGTAGAGGGGCATATTACACCTATAACCCTAAAAACAACGGCAATTAAAAATTTATATTGGAAATAGAATTGGATCCACACATTCTAGAAACAGTCAGACAAAATTAAAAATCAATCATTTCACTTTCTCTAATATATTTTTATAAACGTTGCTTAAGTTGCTATTAGGG